CGAAGGACTTGTATGCATGCATATAAGCATAACCAATGGACACAAGACACTGGGGGGTATGGGAGGCTAGGGGAAGGTCAAGGGGAGAAAAAAAAAGGAGACATATATAGTACTCTTTGTAATACTTTAAGCAATAAAACAATTTTTTTAAAAAAGAACTTATTTTTCTTACTGGGTATTTTCACCAGTCCAAGCTTTCTATCCACTGTAAACTGCTCTCTACTCACCTGTTTACCCATTTTCTACTACATATATGTCCTTGAATATCATTACTTAATTCTTTGATACTATGGTTACATCATTATACTAAGACAAAATAAACTATTTTGATCAAGTCCAAAAAGAAATGGCATGGTTTAAAATATTTGATATTTTTTTAAATTAAGACATTTTCTGATGGAGTTGAGAATGAACATGGTCATATTGAATTAACGGAATTCCAAGAGCATTTTGAATTGTACCTCACTAAATGTTCCCGTTCCATTCTCACATGACTAAGATTCTATGTTAGGTCTAAAAATGTACATGGGCCCCAGAGATCAAATTCTATTGTGAAGAAACATCTTGGCAAAATAGGATTTTAAAAATCTCCAAATAATCAAAAGCTACAGAACTAAGTTTATCAGAACTTTAGCTCTGGAGAGCTCATGTCTTTTCAGTACACTTGACAATACAAAGATAACCACAGTTCCTCTCTGTTTAAATTGTTGAGTTTTTCAGTATTTCGGTATTTGCTTACTGATAGAAAGTGCTCAGACAGCTACCATCAGGGATGGCAATTGCACAAAGAGTGACATGAAATTCCCAGTTGTTTATCAGTTGTTTTGGGAAGACAAGTCAAATTTGGATGCTTGATGATTATTACTGTGAAAAATCTGTGTGTATATATAAAGAGCCAGGTTTCGTAACATCTGTAACAACCAATGCCTCACCAAACACCAGAAGTCAGTGCTGGGTTACCATGGTGACCCAGAACTGACTACAGCCCAAGCGGTGAAGAGACCCAACACTGACTGCCAAGGGGGCTGTGGATCAGGCCCGGAGAGAGGCTTGCAGAGAGAGAGGCAGGGTCTGATCCACAGCCTCTGTGGCAGGTGTTGATCAGCCGTTGCCCCTCTCTTTCACTTAGGGTTCACCAGCAGCTGTGCCTGTTTCTCTCTGGGCCTCCTGGGGGCTGCTGATCAGTCCCGCCTCTTTGACTAGGTACAGTGAAGGCCCACAGATGCTTACTGACATAGAAACCTCCAATCAGAACCTAATCTGGGTGAACTGTGAAGGCAGAACCTAAGGTGGGGCTGAGGAGGGGTTTTAAGGACAACAGCTGTTTGGTGTGAGGTGTAAGAAAGTGGTTCAATTTTTTAATGACTGCTTTGGCAGTATAGTGCATATGGCTGGCTATCAGTCCAGATATAGGGATTATGTATTTTTGTCTGCCAAGAGCATCTCCTCCTGCTGAAAAAGGCTTCCCCCCCCCACACACACACACATACACTTAAGCATTTCTATCCTATATAATCTATCTATACTTATAAAAAAGTAATATGCTAATTAGAATGGAGCAACTGGCCTACTTCCAGACATCCGACTTCCTTTCAGACAAAGCCATGGTGGTGGGGCCGAGGCCAAGGCAGAGGCAGTTAGGGCCGATCAGGCCAGCAGGGGAGGGCAGTTGGGGACAAGATCAAGCCGGCAGGGAAGGACGGTTAGAAGCGAGATCAGGCAGGCATGGGAGGACTGTTGGGGGAGAGATCAGGCCATCAGGGGAGGTCAGTTGGGGGTGAGATCAGGCTGGCAGGGGAGGGCAGTTAGGGGCAAACAGGTAGGCAGGGAGAGGCAGTTAGAGGTGATCAGGAAGGCAGGCAGGTGAGTGGTTTGAAGCCAGCAGTCCCAGATTTCGACAGGGATGTCTGACCTCCACCAATCAGGCCTAAACCAGTGGTCAGACATCCCCCAAGGGGGTCTGAGCCTCAGAGATCATTCTATCTTGAATAAGCTCCTTTAGTAATAAGATTTAAAAATTTTCCAAATAATCAAAAATATACAAATAATCAGGACTAAGTTTACTAGAACTTTAGCTCTGGAGAGCTCATGTCTTTTTAGTACACTTGATAATACGAAGATGACCACAGTACCTGTCTGTTTAAATTGTTGAGTTTTTCAGTATTTCGGTATTTGCTTACTGATAGAAAGTGCTCAGACAGCTACCATCAGGGATGGCAATTGCACAAAGAGTGACATGAAATTCCCAGTTGTTTATCAGTTGTTTTGGGAAGACAAGTCAAATTTGGATGCTTGATGATTATTACTGTGAAAAATCTGTGTGTATATATAAAGAGCCAGGTTTCGTAACATCTGTAACAACCAATGCCTCACCAAACACCAGAAGTCAGTGCTGGGTTACCATGGTGACCCAGAACTGACTACAGCCCAAGCGGTGAAGAGACCCAACACTGACTGCCAAGGGGGCTGTGGATCAGGCCCGGAGAGAGGCTTGCAGAGAGAGAGGCAGGGTCTGATCCACAGCCTCTGTGGCAGGTGTTGATCAGCCGTTGCCCCTCTCTTTCACTTAGGGTTCACCAGCAGCTGTGCCTGTTTCTCTCTGGGCCTCCTGGGGGCTGCTGATCAGTCCCGCCTCTTTGACTAGGTACAGTGAAGGCCCACAGATGCTTACTGACATAGAAACCTACCAATCAGAACCAAATCTGGGTGAACCACGAAGGCAGAAGCTAAGGTGGGGGCTGAGGAGAGGTTTTAAGGGAAACAGCTCTTTGGTGTAAGGTGTAAGAAAGCGGTTCAATTTTTTAATGACTGCTTTGGCAGTATAGTGCATATGGCTGGCTATCAGTCCGATATAGGGAATTATGTATTTTTGTCTGCCAAGAGCATCTCCTCCTGCTGAAAAAGGCTTCCCCCCCCCACACACACACACATACACTTAAGCATTTCTATCCTATATAATCTATCTATACTTATAAAAAAGTAATATGCTAATTAGAATGGAGCAACCGGTGAGGTTGGGACTGCTCCAGTGAGGTTGGGACAGATAATGGGGACCAGTATAGACTGATGAACAGGGGTAGATGCAGAGGCAGAGCAACATTGAAGCATATATTCTTAGAGAGGCTTAACAGTTTCTCCCCATGGTCAGTAGCATTTCTTTAGGGATTTCCTTTTTCAGATACTTTGATTCTGACCTTTTCATCTTCGTCCCTATTACATAACACAGTGCCTGGCATGTAAAATGGGATCAGCAAGTGTGTGGAAAATGAATGGTGATGTTGACCTTCCCATACCCCTCTATATACGAGGTTCCTGGTTACGGACTTCTGACCATTGTCTGAACTTTCTAGCACCGGCATCTTCTTATTATAAAACAGCTGCAATCCACCATTCCATCTAGTAGTGTTCTTTCAGGCTGTGGCTGAGAGGACTTTTTCCCCCTAAGTACAGGTTAGGCCCTCTGACCTCACTTATGTAAATCTGGTGGTTTGATGCTATAAATCAATTTCCTGTTTAATAATCAGAATAAAACAGCACCTATAAGAAGAGCTTCCCTGATTTGCAAATATACTAAATAAAACTATTGAAATTGACCAACAGAATGTGGGAGCCTAAGCCCATATTGTGTTCTCCATCTCACTTTGCAAGGTAATGTTCTGTGTTCGCTGCTACAGCCTTAAATTTGTGGTAGTTGACAAATAGAGGAACGACAGCCCTCCCCCCAGGTGCCCATACATAACACTCCAGTCCTTATGAGCCCCCCAGGCTGCTCTGTCCAATGGCAGAGAGGGGGCAGCCAGCACCTGCGACTGGGGAGCCCATCAAAGTTAGAGTTGGTCTTCCCTTCCAGGCCCTCTGTGGACCAGAAGTGCCTGTGTGTCCCTAGTGAGCAGGAACATTCTAGAAGCAGAGCCAGGAGAAGGGTGTGGAGAGCAGAGCTAGGCAGGTGCTCCTGAGATGGGTGCTGAGGAGAGTGTTGGGGAGTGCATGCCCCATGGGAACTCCTGTATCACAGGGGCTGTTTCTGATTGGGGAGGGGATCCATCACTGCCTTCATAGCCTCTTCCTCTAAATATTGCTTATTTTAACAAACCATAAAAAGGAAATGGGAGGTGCCTGGCAGCTGGCAGGCTCTGACAGGAAGCGTCCCATAAGGGGACAAGCACGCGGCCCCTCGCTGGTTGCTGGGTCCTGTTTACAGCAGTTTCCACCCATCCGGAGGACCTGCTCCTGGCTTGGGGGCCACACGCCTTTCTTCTTCATTCGCAGCAGCTGTGTCCTGGAACATTCGACCTCCAGACCACTCTAGTTCAACTGCATCCGCCTGGCTTCCTCTGAGTCCACTGCCTGCAAGAGCTCATACTCCTCCAGGCCACCCAGTGCCTTCCCCAGGCCGCCCAGCACCCACTGACTGCACCGCACCAGGTAAGGGGAGGCAGGGGAGGGTCCCGGCACCCTGGGAGTCTGAGATCCCACAGCCTAGTCAGAGCCACTCATTGCTGGTGTGACCTCACACAGGTTACCCTACTTCTGGGCTCACCCATGGGTGAAAGGGGACTATGATGGTGGCGCTGGGGGCAGCACCGGGTTTATTGTGGGGGAAACAGACCTGGGAACCACTCGCCCTGAGCCCACAGCCCAGCACATTCCACGGCACTTGGGGCTTCCAGCTAATTGCCTACTGCCTATTGGATCTTCATGGAGTCTCACAAGGTTTCACGCAGCTTCGGGAATATTCTCATCCCACTTGATGGATGAGAAAACTGAGCTTCCCCAGGTGCCCAGCTTGGGGGCAGGGGGTATGCTTCTCAGTTTCTCTCTCTTAACTTCTTAACCTCGCCCCACTGTGTACCAGTTCCACAGGAGAACCCTGAGTACACATTGTCTCATGACCTTGTCCTTCTGGAAACCACTCCATTCTCCCCCAATAGCACACACCTTTCCTCTGACATGACGTAGGACCCGGCTGCATGGCAAACAGACTCATATTCAGGCACAAGGACAATCCCTCTGTCTGCCGAACCTTATGTGACAGAGGTATCCAGAAATCACAAGAACTAAACTACAAAACAAGGGAAATATAATGCCAGGAAATATGGGGACTGTGGCAGATGAGTGAAGGAGACACTTATGAGTGGCAGATAAGAAATAGTTTGATTTTCCTCAAACAAGCAGGAGAGAGCCTGCTTTCTCATGGTTTCATACAATAAGGTACCACTGTCATCGTCTTTGCCACAGTGATAGATTGATTAAACATATTTTCTGAGGTTTCCAAACCTCACAGAAGGTCATTTAAAGTAGAAAATGTGTCATAGAATTGAAGCATGTTTAGCAAGAGCCAGAGTATAATTTCCCAGAGTCAAGGACAGTGTATAAGAGAGGGTGGTGTAGAAATGCTCTTCTCTGGGCTTATGAGAGGGAGGGAAGAAAGGGGAGGAAAGGGAAAAAGAAAGGAGGAAAGGAAGGAAGGAAGGTTCACATCTGATGATGTGAAAATGGGTGGTTTTCCTAAGGAGCCCCAAAAAATCACTAAGTGAATAGAAAAACATGCAAGCATTCTTTCTATATAACAGAAGCAACCTGAATAACAAACAGACTACAAACACCCTTTTTTAATTCAGCGCTAACCAGTAAAATGCGAGTGTAAATGGATGAAAACCCTTTTGTATGCCCATAAGGGTGATAAAAAAAAATATTAAAAGTGGAACATGGCCGCCCTGACTGGTTTGGCTCAGTGGATAGAGCGTCGGCCTGCAGACTGAAAGGTCCCAGGTTCGATTGCAGTCAAGGACATGTACCTTGGTTGCAGTCACATCCCCAGTAGGAGGGTGTGCAGGAGGCAGCTGATCGATGTTTCTCTCTCATCGATGTTTCTAACTCTCTATTTCTGTCCCTTCCTCTCTGTAAAAAATCAATAAAATATATTTTTTTAAAAAAGTGGAACATAGCCAAGTCCAAGTGCAGATTGGGGACTTCTCACACAGGGCTGGTGTCAGTGAGAATTTGCACGGTGCTCTTGAGTCATACTGACAATATCTAGTCAGGTGGGAGCTGTCTATCCCAGGTCAATTGTTGCACAGAGATATGTAGTAAGTGGGGATTATTTTGCAGCAAGCATGTATGTGAGACAGCTCAAATGTTTGTTAATAAAGTGGCTCATTTTTTTGAGCATTTTCCCATTCACCAAAAGGTCAAAATGTTCAATTCCCAGTCAGGGCACATACCTGGGTTCAATCTCTGGTTGGGGCATGTTTGGGAGGCAGCCAATCAATGTTTCTGTCGCATATCAATTTCTCTCTCTCTCTCTCTCTCTCTCTCTCTCTCTCTCTCTCTAATAAAACATATATTAAAAAAAGTAACTGGCCCTGTCTGGGTTGGCTCAAAGGCTAGAGCATTGGACTGAAGAGTCCCGGGTTTGATTCCAGTCAAGGGCACATGCCAGGTGTTGCAGGCTTGATCACCAGTGGGGAGCATGCAGGAGGCAGCCAGTCAATGATTCTCTCTCATCATTGATGTTTCAGTCTCTCTATCTCTCCCTTCCTCTCTCTGTAATCAATAAAAAAATATTTTTAAAAGTAACTGAAGCTTCTTTTTAAAAATATTATTGGATAAAATGTTACACAAATAATGTCATTTATGTAAAATTTTAAGATGTTTTTGCATAACCTATAGATACATGTGTATATATAACTATAAGTACATACATGAAATGATACATAAAAACCTCAGAATATTGGTTGCCTCTGAAGGGCAGAGGGAGGGTGAACAAGACTGGGGAGTCAAAAAAACATAAATGAAGTTCTATGTGTACTGTGTTAGCTTTTTAATCAAACAGAATAGCTTCAGTAAAAATGCCAAAATACTTACATTTGTTCATTGCAAATTGTAGGTTTTGGTTTTATAACTCTGTATTTCTTCACTTAAAAATATGTTTCATAACTGCATAATATTTAAAACTGAATAAGTAAATACAACCTCATCTTAGGTATAGCTGTATGTGACATACTTGCCTCTTCTAACACCAAGATGAGTGACACAATGTTATGCCTCATTTGAAGGAAACATTTATGCCAATTGATGCCAGTGCTTGTGCCAATTTCTGTTTAAATCTACTGGGATACAAAATGGTGATCACTGGGAGACAAGGACCTCAGAGCCAGCCAGGAAAACATTTGATTAAACACTGAGCAGGAAGTGAGTTGTTCTTGAATTTGTCCTCAGTGTTGATTCTTTCTCTTCGGCCATGGCACAACTTTCTCTCCACCAACTCAGGGGCTAACAACAAACATGCTAGAACAGAGAAAGAAATTGCCTTGCTGCTAATGACATTGGCTTGTTTGAAGTAATGAGAATTTCTAGTGCCCGGCACTCTTTGTGTCACATGGGTATGCGATGGCCAAGAGGAAAAGTACAGTGCACCTTGCCAGGGGAAGGTTGGATCTGGGACATGAGTCCTTCAAGGACTGACATGAGAGGAAATACTTTTTCCAGAATGTTGGCCTACTATGAATCCAAAACATAAAATAAGATAATGTTCCCCTCCTCATTCCATAAAGAATGCTTTTTTCGTTTCATGCCTTTTCCAGTTGGAGTGACATAAGCAACTGATTGCTTTTAAACTTTTGCTACTTTCCTGTAAGCTAAGTAACAAAACTAAACAAAACAAAAAAAGCCACCAAGCATTGTGAGAACAGTGCAATGTGTTAGCATCACCTGGTTTGCTGAAAGTTATTTATTGATGTTTGCAAGTATAATGTGAGTTATAAAATTAACAATGAACATGGAAAAACCAAGATGGCAGCATAGGTAAACACCGGAGTTTGCTGCCTCGAACAATCACTTCAAAAATACAACTAAAAGATGGAACGGACATCATCCAGAACCACAGAAAGGCTGGCTGAGTGGAAATTCTACAACTAGAAGGAAAGAGAAAAGCATACCGAGACTCAGAGGAGGCACAGTGCGGAAGTAAAATACTAAGGTACAGAGGCGCACAAGGAGTGGGCTGGCAGCTGAGGGCACAGTTGTCGTTTACAATCGGGAGGGAGTCTCAGGCTCTGAGCTCCAGTTCCGGGCGAGTCTCTGGGGACCCAGACTCATACGGGAGAAGCGGGACTGTCTGGCATCGGTCGGAACTAGAGGGCAGCTTTCTCTCGGAGGGGCTTGCAGCAATTGCCCAGACACTGAGAAGCTGGGCCTCTGAGAGCAGCCATAACTGCTAGCCCCGCCCTGTTGATCCCGTGGGACCTGCCCGGCCCAAGCCCTGCAGGAAGTCTTTTGCTGGATAGCCTCAGGCAAAGGCTAGATTAGCACCTCCCTAAAGATCCAGGAGCCAGTGTACACAGAGGTCAGAGTGGGACCATCCAGTTTGCAGCTCCGTGGAACCATAAAGGACACACTCAGGGGGCAGACTCAGTGAGCACCAAAGCCCCATTGAAGCAAGTCTTGCCC